TGGCTGAACATGACCATTAGTATCATCAAAGTTCAGATTCAGAGCCTGAACAACCTTTGCTGGAAGTAGAACTGTTGAGCAACCTGTTTAACACCAAAGAGAACAAAGCAAAAACCCCAAAATTAATCACTGATACGAGGAAAGAAAATATGTTGTTTCAAGGGTCAAAAAGACCCCAAAAAGAAAGCTGAAAAGCTTAGTTTTTATTAATACCTGATTTCTTGCGAGGTTCGGGAGGGTTGCCGTATCTACGAGGCAAGAAAACACCAGTTCCAGCACACTCTCTTTTAACGCTACCAGATCCACCGAGAAACATAGCTCTCATGCCAGAACCAGAGTTGTGTTGAGGTTGCTGCTGCTGCTGAGATTGAACTTGAAGAGGAGGCCATGAAGACTGAGGCAACCCCAAGGGTCTAACCCCAACAACATTATTATTCCTTGCTCTACTCTGGATCTGCTGCTGTTGCTGCTGTTGTTGAAGCTGCGCTTGCCAGTTGCTTGCCTTCATTTGCCTTGCCATAACAGCACCGCACTGAGGTTTTAACACTTGTTCCTGCCTTCCATGATACTGACAAAACGAAAGGAAAAGAACCCCATAACAGATTAGAACAACAAAAACCCCCAACCTTTTTCCTCAAGTTATAACAGAAACAATCCAAAGAAAGGATTCAACAAGGTTGAAACTTCACTGAAAAAAGAAACAAGCTTACCTGATTTGTTTGAGCAAGATTATAAGAAAGACCCTGACTTGAGTACAGCCCAGAGCTTGAGTTCCTCATGACGGCATGACTTTGGGCCTTGGGGAGGCCTCTTCCATAGTTGAAGCAGGTGTATTTAGGTGCTTCATTGCTCATTTTCAGCCTTGCAACTTGGCCAGCTGCGGCATATATGAGATCCCAAGTGTCATTTTGAGCACCAAAAGGAGTTGTTGGAGGGGAAGGAACTTGAGAAGGGCCATTCGGGCTGCCATTGCTTGAAGTTGACCAGCTTCCAAGTCCACTCAGAGTCGACTGCGGTGAACTCGCTAAGACTCCACTTTTCTGAATCAGAACCCCAAAAAATTCCAAACTTTAAATAAAAGAAATAAAAATAAACCACCAAGTTGGAAACTAGAAAGGCTTTACATGAAAAAAAAATAACCCAGGAACTAATTACCTCGTTTTTGTCCAGGGAAAGGATAGGAACAGTGAGTTTCTGACTCGTTGAGTGAGCAAGTCGGCGAGTCAACCCAGCAAGGAACTCATCCTCGTCACTGCTCTCAGTCTCGTAGACCAACAACGGATTCGACAGGAGAGCTGAGAGCAGACGAGGAATCAAAGGAGTCGAACTCATAGGAAACTCCATCGGGAAACCATGACTCGGTATCAACAACTCCGTGTTGTTGCCACCGTTTTTGTTCTTAAGGTTCTCTTTCTCGATAACGATATCATCATCCGTTAAAAACTTGGCTGGAAGCCAAAACTCGGCGTCGTCTAGCTGTTCAGCCATGAAAAAAATATAGCCCCCCAAGAAAAGGAAACACCCGCAACAGAGGAAAGCAGGGGAAAACCGAGGAAAACAGGGAAGGGGGTGCTAATGAAGAGAAGCGAGGGAGAGCTTGCTTGGCAGAGAAGATTTAATAATGAGGCCAAGTTTGGGCTCTGAAGAGAGAGGGACCCAACAACACGAGAAGGAGAGAGAAGGAAACGGAAGAGAGAGGAGTAGAGAATGTTGAAGACAAGCTGCATTTATTAAGGTTTCAGGGTCATTTTGAGACAGAAAAACCCTTTAAAAAAAAAGATAGAATTTTTAAAAGCAAATATCTAAACTTGGAAATACATAAAACTTGAAAATTTGAGGGAGCATAGCAAAGCAAAGGCAATTGGAGGGAGGAGTGGGGTAGTGGGGTGCAGTGCTAGGATGTGGAAACAACTGGAAAGGAATGGCCCAGTGGTTGGGGACATTTGTCCTGCTCTGCAATTCACCTGCCATCTGTCCTCATTGGGCTTAATTACAAACTTAATTAAACAATTAAAAGTAAAGCACTTCTTTGTTTACTAGTTTATTTATAGCTAATTTGATTTTTTTTTTTGAAAATTCAAAACTTTGGGTATTAATAATTGGGGTTACTTATGGGAGATCTGATGCATTTAGTGGTTAAAAACTTCTTGTTCACATCAGATTCTTTAACCCTATTCTCTCATGATTGATGGGTTTTTCTTCTTCTTCTTCTTTCAAATTTTTCATGATTAAATTGGTTAAAGAGTGTGTCTAAGGTGCTGTTGGGGTAGGGAAGATTTTGAAAGATTTTTTCTTATTTGTTTGGTAATTTGGGAAATGAAATCTTTATGTTCTTTTTATCTTGATTTGGTTGGAAACTTTCACACACTTGGTAATCTTATTCCTTCTTTGAGAGGGTGAAGTGCTTTCAAGGCTTTGGGTTTTGGGTATAAATGGAATTTATTAAAGTTTTCAAGATTAAGTGAATCCATATTTATTAAAATATAAATATAAAATAAGTCAAAAAAAAACATTCATAAGATATTCCAATTCCATGAAGGGTATGACAAGAATGTTACTGTTTGGAGAAAGAACTTGCCTTGTTTGTAATGTTAACCTTATAGTATAAAGAAATGGAAGGGGAAAAACAAAAAGAGAAACCTTAATCAAAGGGTTTTGTGGTGATTCATACTCCAAAATATAAAACAAAACAGAAAGAAGGGTCTTTTTGGATTACTCATGTAGTAAAATGGTAAAAAAAAAATTACAGCCAGTTTAATAATCTTTGATCATGGTTATCTTTATGTCACCAATTATTTGAACAATAGTAGATAGATGGTAGCTACAAAAGAGATAGTGTCAATATCATGAATCAATCAAAGGGAAAAATGGTAGTGACCAGTCAGTTGCCAATGAAGCAAGGTTTGAGAACTTTGAAGCCAATCAATGCTTCCAAGGCAATTTCCATCAATCCAAATTGAATTCCCACATCATCCAAACCAAATGTTAAGGAAAAGAAAAAAAAAAAACAAAACTTGGGTTTTTAAGCCATTGCTTCCCCTTTTGTTCATCTATATTCCAAGTCAGATTTGATTCAAGCTATTCGAGATCTCTTTTGTCATCAATGGGAAGTTCGCATTCGCCATGTTATCTAAGAAGGTAATGCTTTGGTTGATTTTACGACCAATAAAGATTTTTTTTTAAATGAAGAATTTATTAGTTTCGGTGTTCTTCCTGTCGGAGCTTGTTATTTATTGACGAATGATGTTAAGGGGGAGTGTTTCTCTCGAATAATTAGATTATAAAATCTTGTTTTATTTTAACTTTTTTGACTTAATAAAATCAATTAGGGTTAAAGAGACTGGAAATTTAACTGATTACAAAGGGTCGGTTTTTTGGGATATCCAATTGGCCGATAAAGACAAATCAAATTCCAATAGCTAGAGATGTGGGTATGATGCTTGGCACTAGGAGGAAAATTGCAAAGTCTTCCAACCCTTTAAAGGGAGTAATCAAAGACTATGAAAAGTCAAAGTCGATTTGTTCAAATTTTTGGTATAGTGGCTAAGATTGAAAAACTCATGATAATAACGTATTAATCACTGCTTTTGGATGGGATTGTGCTAATTGCTTAAAGTTTGGTGATTTCACCATCATTTATAACACAAGCCTTGTAGCCTATGAAATGGTGGAATTGGTGGAAAGTGGCCAAATTGTAATATCATGGACCCTTTTAACAGTATTAATTAAATGTATAATCACGCTTAGGACCTATTTTTAACACAACAATTAATTGAAAAGGACAACGTCCAAGTTATTTAAAAATCATTAATACAAGTTTTAATCTATTAATTAATTAGTCATTAAGACAGATCATTACATGTTGTTGCATTTTCCACTCATAGCTTTCTTGTTCATACAAGATAAGAGACCCTTACTCAACCCATGAGACATTATTCACTTCAATCTAGCAAGTCTCACAATATATAAAACAAGACATCTCACAAATATAAATTTAAATCTCTAAGAATATCAATACGAAATTTGAGAGCCTCATCATAGTATTTTGTCTTTGAATTATTTATTTTTTAGTGTAGTAACTAATATGTAATTCAAAACTAAACATTGGGAGAAGCACACTTGCCATTATTGAGGGAGAAAGGGATGCAAAGTCCTTAGTGTGGTAATTGTCTTGTGGGTGAAGTGGGGGTAATTAGATATACATTCCTCCATGTCCATGTCCATGACTGGTGAACCTCAAGTAACTTTCAAACTCTTTTTGCCCCAAGAGTTACAAATGACACAAGATCCCCCCCTCCTCTCCCTTTGCCTATGTCTATTACTACCTTTTAAAATAGATCAAAGGGAGAGAAGAGAAAGAAGCTGTTGTCCCACTTATGATTTCTTTTCTTCTTTCATTTTTTTTTTTCCTTTTTTGCTGTTTGCATTTTGCATGTAGCAGCACATTCCCCTTGAGTCTTCAATTACTGACTTTGATCAGCCGCACTTTGTGGCCACTAATTAAAGCACAAACATCATCATTAGGACATCCCTCTCCATGCATTATTTGTTATCATTATCCCCCTTTGCTTAAGAAGAGTAAGATATGGTCAAAACTCACACAAACATCTATCTTTGTTCTTGTTGCTGATTTTCCTTTTTCTTAGCTTTGTTGGGTTGCCATAGATATCATCCCCCATCACACTCTTAAAGCTCTAGTAGGATAAGTCATGCCATGCACCCAAGGATGGATCGAAGGTGGGGGTCGTCACTCCTTAATGATTAAGTCTTACTTCAAATTGAATTATTAAACAGATCCATAATTTTATATAATTATCTTTTAAATGTCTTTCATATAAAATTTTAAATTCGTCACTATATACCATACTTTTTTCAATACAAAATACTTTATAAAAATGTTAAAAGGAGTTTGATCTGAAGCCAAATAGTTCAAATAAGAGATGATTAAATTTTTCATTCTCGAAACTTTTATTATTTGTAGATTGTCGTGATTTCTAGTCCTTTTGCCATTGAATTTGAACCATTTAATACATATCTTTAACTACTTTGTTTAATTATACTTTATAGTAGGAACCCCCACCCACCCACAACATTCTATAAAAACAAAAAAAAAAATTAATCTATCTTTTTTTTCTCCCCTAAGGTTTTTATTTTGTTTTAAAAAATGTTTATGTGAAGTACTCTTCATTTAAGTATAAAGGGAGTTCAATCTATTTAATCATAAACTACGTGTATTTATCCATTTCAAAAATATTAAAAATAACATATGTTATAAAAAAAAGATTTGATTAATTTATGCTTATAGATATTAATTACAAAAGAAGATATGTCAACGTCTTTTGAAGCAATTGATATAACATCTTTTTTTACCCAATATGACATATTTCGTCATTATTCATCGCTCTTTGACTCTTTTTTAAAAAATATTTATTATAAATGAACTAACATTCTTGTAAATAAAAATATCAAATCAAATACTAATAAAAGTTTAGTAGTGCTCCAACTTAGATTTAGACTAATAGTAATTATGGATGGTTCATGTAATGAATACCATTAAAAACCCTAATTTTAACGTAACCCCTTAATTTTTTCCCGTCCGCCTAATTTTTTGCCAGCTAGCCACGGTGTCACGGAATCCCCGTGAACCTTCTGGTGAAGGGATCAAAATTCCCGCAGAGCAAAAATCGTGGAATCTGAATCTTGGATGATGTGGCACCAATACAGATTCGGCAGCTTAACTGTCCAAATGTCCTTTACCTTATCCCCGCCTCTTTTAACGGCTGTCATTTTCCACCGTCAACGCCGTTAACGTTCCAAAACCCCATAAAGAATTTTAAATTAAAAATGTCCCGCTCCGTCATAACGGCCACGGACTTCAAGCCCATTATCCAATCGGGTTCAGTAATATTCCCGCCAAAAAAGGGGGAAATTGTAAAAAAAAAAATATAATTAAAAAAAAGAGGTGGTGGGGCCACAGATTTACCTGCTGAAAATGACATCACCGTTAGTCAAAAGGAGGAAGCATGCAGAAGATTTTTTTATTCTATTTATTTATTTTATTATTTGAATTTTTATTTAATTCTTTTTTTAAAAAAACTTTTATTGATTTGATCTTAGATCTTTTTCACTCTCTTATATTATTAATTTAAATTAAAAAATAAAAATAATAAATTTATATGAAAAATAACATTTAAAAACAAAATTCTCATAAATTGATTTGATAAAATTAAAACACAATACCCTTAAGAAAATCCTTGATAAGTGTTACAACAGCAAAATATTAAAATTAAAAAAATTTATCAAATGATTAGATTCGCATTACATATAAATGATAATTACTTATTTATTATCTTTTTAAGTTATTTTTAATAATTAAAATTAAATATAAATTAACATTTGATTTATTTACTTTTATTTAAATAATTTGTATAACAATTTTATCGTCTATAATTACAATTACTTTACCACATATCTTATTTCATATTAATAACAACTCTAATAAACATTCAATAATTCTTTTTTATATATATAATAATTTTAAAATTTGACTAAAAAACTGCATTTTCAATTTTCAAAATCCTTACGAAAGAGACCTTCCGTGATGGATTAATGGTATGAAATTCTACGAGTTCCATTAATATTGAGCAGCACTCATTTAATGTATTAAAATAAAAATTATTTTTATTTATTTTTCTTAGAGTTAATATTCTTAATTTTTATATA